GGCTAGTCATGCATCAAGTTAACACCCTGTCTAAGTGCTTTGCTGGATCAGGGTCTAAAAAAGAGAGAAAAAGATCATATAAATTATTCTTTGTGACTGATAGCAGTCCACATTCAATAGTCAATCATAACACAATAAAGGAGGAGCCACTAGCCAATCTCTAGTTATTGATATTTGCTGGGAGATGGGTTTGTTGTGCGACTTCTAGGAAACTTTGATTTACATCTTACTCTACCCCTTATCTTTTCAGAGTTGTAGCCATAGGTAGTCATCTTGGTTCGAATGGGATAAAATATATCTTGCTTTTGGAAAGGAACTTTAAGGCAGCACATGTTGAAATAATGGGAAGTGTAAGACAGCTTGGAAATGGTATCACCAGTCGTTCTTCGAGTGCTGGGCCATATGTGTATTCCACACGTGGGAACGCGTGCGCTCCAAGTGCCCGAGTCCAGAGATTTTAACAAGCAATGTCCATTGGCTTGCAGATGTGCAGTACAGTAGATCTTCTTATGCTTCCAAGTAAGGGAATAAGAGGCAATGCAGGTCAATGCCCACTCAGGCCATGAGGCACTAAGATGGTCCTGCATTGGAATCCAGTGTCCTCCTGCTTCAGCCTTTCAGAAAATCCTGTAAATAAGATTATAAATAGTTATTCTTTTAGCCTAGTACAGTTAATTTTTAGTAAAGTTAATGTAGTTTGTTTCCCTGGACTGAGGATTCCCTTCCCGCAGTCGGGGACTATGCCCAGAGTCCTGGGCTTCAAAAACTGCATTCCTGCCCTAGATCCTTCTCCATCAGCAATGAATACCAATGCAGCCTCTACTGTGTCGGTGAGAAACATTTCGGCAAAGTCTATCATTTGTCGCTCATTTCCACCAAGAACTCATGAAGCCAGTGAGCTTTGCCTTAGAAAACACTTAATGGAGCAGGCCATGAAGCCACTCTCCAATCCAGGCTAGGGAGACCCCTCTTTACATTGTCCTCACCAAACGAGCAGTACACTCCCACCCCTCGAGCATGTGCTTCAAAGAAGAGCCCTTGGTCTCTAAGTCTAAAGACTCTTCCTCCAAGGCTTTCCATGAGAGCAAGGAATGCTCTCTTGGCACAAGGACAGATCCCCATCGAGGACTGTCCATAAGAGACACGCTCCTCTTCTTTGGCATCAATAATCCCCTCTCTTCAAGAAGGAATATGGTTCGTGGTCTCAACATGAAGGACACATATTGTCATTTAGATATTCAGCCCTCCCATAGGCGGTTTCTAAGGCTTATGGTGGGCTGGGAGCAGCAACAAATAAACACAAAGGGCCAAATTCTGCTGTGTTGCACTGGTATAAATCCATTGAAGACAGAGAAGAAACACTGGATTTAAACCAGTGTATGTGAAAACCGAGTCTGAGGCACAAACTTGTATTTTCCCAACTCTGGCTCTTATCCTTTGCTTTGTGTCTCCTTCTTTACTTAAGAACTTTGTGCTGCTGCCAGGTGATTTACGATACCTAGTTTGTTAACTAGTGCTCACTCAGAAACTGCCTTAAGTGCTGCAGGATAAATATGAACTGTGATTGTAGCACTGCTTTCCAAATTCAGAACTCTGCTGGGTGAAGTTTTGCTTTTCCCCACTGCTACACAGCCAGGGGATGAAGTGAGAAAAGGTCCCTAAATCTCCTGCACAAAAATGACATTGCTTAGGCAATAGAAATCCACCTCTTGCATACCACGCAGCTTTCTGTGTGCTTTAAAAGAAAGAAACATTTGTTGGTTTCTCCCCTGTCTCCCCTGCAGTGTTTAACTCATTTGTGATGTTATTCCTGGAGTTGTAATGAGCTCCTTGTGGAATAGTCACCATGGAGGTTCCAGTGCTGTGTTTGCCAGATAAAATACTATGGTATTGTTTTTCTTATTCTTCCTTTAGGCCCTGATTCAGGAAAGCATCCTTATCCAGACAGCATTTAAGCATATCCTTAACTTTACACTTCTGCCTAAAGTTAGGCACATACTTAAGTGCTGTTCTAAACAAAGATGGGCTTAGGCACTTACATGCTTTTCTGTCTCACGGGCCTTAATACAATTTTTTCCAGAAAGATTAGTTCACTATTGATTTTTGCTGTATATGTAATGCTAAGAGGAGGGAAAGAGAGGAGAAAATAGCTCTGTGGTAGGAAACTTGTATCACCCTCACTTATTTGTGGTTACTTACTGCCCAGAGAGTGTAGAAACTCTCCTGTGAGTTATATAGTTCAGCTATGACCAAAATACCTGGAACTCTGGTCTCTTGCCACCCTCTTTTCTTGTAATCTGATTAGGAATAGGGGGAGGCAGTATGAGGATTCATAGATTCCAAGCCCAAAAGGGACTGTTGTGATTATCTAGTCTGATCTCCTGTATAACAGAGGCCATAGAACTTCCCCCCAAATAATTCCTTTTGAACCAGAGCATGTCTTTAAAAAATATCCACTCTTGATTTAAAAATTGCCAGTGGTGGAAAATCCACCACAGCCCTTGGTAAATTGTTCCACTGTTAAAAACAGTGGGAAGAGAAAGTGACTTGCCCAAAGTTACACAGTCCATCAGGAGCAGAACCAGGAATGGAACCCTGATCCCCAGTCTAGCATCCTAGCCACTGGTTCCCAACTAATTGTTTGTATTACAGAAGTGCCTAGACACCCCAAATGAGACACTAGTTTCACCTCCCTGACCACACAATAGCAGATGTAAAGGTAGCCAACTTACAGCAAAAAAACTTCAGGACCAGACTCCAAAGAGAAACTGCTGAGCTTCAGTTCATTTGCAAATTTGACACCATCAGATCAGGATTAAACAAAGACTGTGAATGGTTAGCCAACTACAAAAGCAGTTTCTCCTCCCTTGGTGTTCACGCCTCAACTGCTAGCAGAGGACCTCACCCTCCCTGATTGAACTAACCTCGTTATATCCAGACTGATTCTTGCCTGCATATTTATACCTGCCTCTGGAAATTTCCATTACATGCGTTTGACGAAGTGGGTATTCACCCACGAAAGCTTATGCTCCAATACGTCTGTTAGTCTTAAAGGTGCCACAGGAGACTCTGTTGCTAGTTTCACTGTGATCATCTAGTCTGACTCCTCGCATGCCTCTCCTGACCTATAAATCAATGTGGCCTACTGGGTAGGGTAGGACACTGGCCTGGGAGATCTGGGTTCTGGTCTCAGTGCTTCCACTGACATGCTGCATGACCCTGAGTATCTTACCTCTCTGTACCTCCATTTCCCTCCCATCCATTGTCTGTTTATTGCAAGTGCTGCAGGGACTGTCTCTTATGATGCGTTTGTGCTATGCCTACTAGAATGGAAGCCTGAATCTCAGTTGGGGTGTCTAGGGACTTCTAAATAATTAATAATGCTCTGCTTTCCCCTTTGTTTATTTCTGAGTCTTCTGCTATCCACTACTGGGACTGATTGTTCATAAGTATAAATCTTGAGAGGATCCCAGGAAGGACTTTCTTTGCATTCAGTGTTGGCCTACCTGTGCTCCCATTTAAGTGAATGGGAGTTTCACTGTTGACCTCAGTTGGAACAGAGTTAAACCAATGCTGCAAGCACATTGCAAATGACCTAACATGTCGTAAGTTGGGCATTCAAAAATTGAGGCGCACAAATTGAATGGCCACTTTTGAAAACATTGGCCTAAACTTTTGGTAGTGTTTGACACAATATTGTTTATACTCCCTCCCCGATTCTGTAATGTTTGCCAGAGGGTATGAGTACACTGGAACTGGAAGGGGTGATCTCAGCTCAAGGAGACACCTATACTAGCTCTGATAAAGCTCATGTGGTAAAAACAGAAGTGTAGCCACTGTGTGGCATGAATTGCAGGAGGGACTAGCTTCCCTGAATATGCACTTAGGGTCTTGGACAGGATCGTCCTTGGGGTGGCTAGCCCATCCCACTGCTCATGCTGCTGCAGCTACATTTCTATTTTTAGCACACTAGCTTGATCAGAGCTAGCACAGGTACATCTGCTTGAGCTGGAACTTGCACTTTCAGCTCCAGTGTAGTCATACCCAGAGCATGGTTCTGATGATTTAAGGTTGTGGCACTAGAATGCAGGCTTGTTGGGGCCAGGGGACCTTGCCTCCTATGTATTTTTAATACTGTCAAGCACTGTACTCATCTGTGGAACTATGTAAATAATAATTATACTGGTGTCCTTATCCCTGATGTTAGTCTTGTCTTTTGCAGCACTTTTACAAGCAGTAATAGACGGTGATCTTCTAAAGGTAAGTACAGCAAGCTGAGTTTCTCCCTCTTCTCAGCTATTTGAAGCTGTGATGGACTATGAGTTATAGTCTACTCCTCTCTCAAAACATAAACATGCTGCTGTAAAGATTGATAGCCAAATGCCACTTGCAGGGTACACTGAATATTAGAGGAACAATAGCCAAGTGAGATGATTGAAATTCAGGTGGATAGAATCTGGTGTTATACTGCACCTTTCATACTCCAGGAATCCCAAAGTACTTCACGGAGCAATGGGTTGATTACACAGTGAAATGATTATGTAGGCAAATGCAGTGCTGAGCAATACAGTATCACCAACCCAGCCTTCCACAATAAAGCCTGTTTTACTGAAAGGGGAATGTTGGTCAGAACACCGGCGTTGTTCCCAATTCTCTTCAAAGAGTGTAAGGATATTTGTAACTTCCACCTAGACAACTACAAAGGTAGGAAGAAGGGACATTGGTTTAGCATTTCATGACCTGATAGATGACACTTCTGATAGTTCATCAGTCTCTGCTTCCTTTGCACTGCACTGTAATGTCAGTATTAACTATGAACCAAGTTCTTCTGACATTCAGAAGGGCTTGAAACCCAAGAAATCTTGGCCCAGCCCTAAGTGTCAGCTATTGAGAACTCTCTCAGGAAGGAGGAAAGGGGGCAGAGGGAAAGTGTTTAATTCCTAGAAGTGTGAAGCTCACTTCTGACAATTGCAATCCCTATTTTTCAGCAGCTAAGGGTGCATTTACGCAGTGAATAAAAACCCCATGGTAATGAGTCTCAAAGCCCGAATCAACTCACTCAGACTTTTGGGGCTAAAAATAGCATTGTAGATGTTCCTGGGGGTAGGTCTCACAGCCTGGGTTCTATTTTTAGCCCTGTAGCACAAGCCCAAGTCAGTTGACCAAGGCTCTGAAACTCGCTACCACTGTTTTTGTTTGGTTGGTTTTTGTTTTTTTGTTTTGCTTGTTTTGTTTTGCTGTGTAGATGTACCCTAAGTGCTTGGGATTTGCAAACATGCCCCTGAATTTGGGTGAGTATTGTGACTAACAATTGCAACGTTAACTGGAAAAAGCCTTGCAGCTATCTGAAAAAGTGGCAATTCTGTTACTCCTGATCTTTGCCTATAGACCTCTGCCCCCACTGGCAACAGCAGTAGCAATGATTCACTGTAACCACCATTTATTCGTACAATATTGCTCTTTCCCTCATATCAAATTCTGTTCTGAATTTCACAGCACAGTTTCCCCATCCCTTAAGGCTACTGTAATTTATAAGATGCAACTCTCCCTTGAATCTTCTCCAGGTGCATCATGACTTTGTGTCATGACATAATAATATCCCATTGTCATAATGCAATCTCAACACTGTTTTCTGTAGTTGTTTTACAAATTCCCAGAGCGTGCAGCAACTTTAAGAAGCAATCACCTGCTCTTTCCTGCCTTCCCAGTGCGAGTCTTCCCCTACAATGAGATCCAAGTAGAAAAGTGTGTGTGTGTGTGTAATATATGGATAAGGAAGTAGGAGGTACAGCACCTGATCTCTGGCATGTTGGTTTCCTTACAGAGGTTCAGATCTTCTCAGGGCAGCGGTAGGAAAGGCAAGGCAGGAAGATTTTGGGAAAAGACCCAAAACCTAATTCTTAAGATTCTTCCCATGATATCAGTTGCAAATACATACAAGTGTATTTAGGAATGATCCTTTGGTGCTTAGGGCCCCTACTGGCTAAAAATATACATGGGAATATACATGAAAATATAAAGAGCAATTTACTGTTTCCAAGCAATATACAGTGTGTACCCAATCCTGAACACAGGGGCCATTCACAAATTCATATACAGACTTACAAACTGTAGCACCACCACTGTAATAACATGTATTCATACAAACACACAGCGATCCACCCCACCACACATCTGCACAGGGCATAACCAAGACACGAACATGCACATAAACTCTGTATCTGAATCTCTGCAGATGGACTTGGGGCATAAGGCACCCAAACTACAACTCCCATAAGGCACTGTGTATTTCCAAATAAATTTTTGGGGGTTTGGCTCAGTTTTGTTGGTTTATGTGTGTTTGGTTTTTTTTATCAGAAAGTTGAAATGTTCCACAGAAAGCAAACACTTTTTGTGAAATGTTTAGTTGAAAACCCAATTTTTCATTAAAATGTACAAACAAACAAAAACCTCAAATAATTTCAATGATTTTTTTTTTACCAGCCCTACTTGCAAGAAATAATTCATCTACAGTATATCACCAATGATCCACTGCTCAGGAAATGTGATTTGACATTGTTAACTCACTGTGTTGTAAGCCTTGCTAGTTTTAGGTCAAAAGCCTTTGCTGTGCATTGTAAGGGCCTAAAAGTTTGGCTAGTGGTTACCACCGCTCCTTTTTAGCCACCTGCTAGCAAATCTGACAGTTAATTTACCTGCATGTTTATTTACCTGTGCACCTTGTCCTACAGTTTTCTTGTCCTCTTCCTGTGCATTTACATTCCAGTTCATAGAATGCTGTAAGAGAGGAGCTAATCTGTTAATCCAGGGACCTGACCACTGTTCCTTGCTTCACCATGCTGCCAAGACTGGGCACCTTGAAATTGTGAAATACATCTTAGAACATGGTGAGTAATTGTGTGCAAACTCACACAGAATCACATTCCATGAAGTGTCATTGTGGTAGAATAAAAGTTTACTCAAAACCCCTTACCAATCTATCCTCCTGCAGCATGTTGCTATGGAGATGGAAGAAGTGTTGAAGCTGGCCCTAGATAAGGGGGAGCGAGTGAAGAGTATAACAGGACAACTTTGTAGGAGATGCAACATTTTCCTAGATTATAAAACCAGAAGGGGCTGTTGTGATCATCTAGTTTGCTCTCCTGCATAACACAGGCCATAGGACTTCCCTGAATTCTGTAGTTTCCTTCATTGATCCCTCTCTCCAGACTGCCTCTCAGAACACACCTGGCCTGTGTACTTATCCCCCATCTCTCCCCAATATTTCCCTCAGGCACATCTTGCATGTGTGCATCCCAATTGAATTCCAGCACAGTTAGACTTATGTGAAGACTCAAGTCGAAGTAGTAGTTGAAGCTAGAACAGGAAACCCATGAGAAGGAGTCGCCTCAGCTAACAGAGAAAGTGTGAGGAGGCTATGGCAAGATTAAATGAAGACAAACCATAGCATTGAGCAAACACCAGCCCTGTTTTCACCAGTGTGGCAGGAACCCTCTGAAACCTTTCTAGATCTTCTTCCTCTGGGTGTCTCCGCTGCCTTGTTTGTGTAAGTCTCTGGGGAATCTGACTGGGGATTGGCAATGCACTAATGGAGGTCCACTTGTTCTCTCCACCTGCATCCAAGAAATTAATAAAAGTCATTTCTACACAGGACACTTCTCATTCTTTGATAATCTCTCTGAGCCAACTTGCTGAAGGTTCATCAGTGTAATGTTTCTGCTTCTCTATAGTACTTTAAAATGTAGATTGTGGCCCCTAGCACCTTATCAGTATTCAGAGCATGAAGTGTATTAATCAGTGATTCAGATGTTTTCTGACACTTCCTAATATCTTATGCTAAATCATTTTAGCTAATGTCCATCCTTTCTAATGTGAGAAGATACAGGAATGGTTTTTATCCCTGCTACTGCCTCAATCCCTGCCCAGTCATGTGCCCCTGTAGTATGTCTGCTGCCTATGCACTCTTGGATATGGCTAATGTTAATGGGAGTCACACTGCAAAATACCTTCCAGGGTACGCTGCTGAAAATCTAGCACTAAATCATATAGGGAAAATGTTCTGAATGCTAAAAAGGATTTGGCAGAACTTTTAGATTCCTCACATTGAACTAGGGAGGTGAATATAATATGATAAAGAAAAGGCAAATCCAATCCCATGTTCTCAGAGGTAGGGGAGGAGGAAAAAGGAAACATTAATGTGAGGCGGCCCTTTGTGATGATGGGCATATGCCATCTTCAAACACACCAGTGTCGTCATGAGGAGAAGCTGTTCCATGTTCTGGATCTGAAACATTTCAGATGTTAAGAGAAAAAAACTCTCAAATTAGAAAAATCATAGGCTAGTCATATAAAGATACTGTTATGCAATGCTGCAGTGTACTTATTAGTGCGCTAGAACAACCCGGCATAGTCCCTGGAATGACAATGCAGGTACAAACTCAGTAGGCATCAGAATCACATCTGTTTATTGCTGGAAGACAAGTGTGATGGGGTATGCAGACCCCATACTGAGCAAGAGGGGATTAATGAGAGCCTGTGGGCCCAATCAGCCCCATCCTGTTACACCTATGCAAGGTGTCAAGCCTGGAGGAAGGAGATAAAAGAGGAAAAGCACAGTTCATTGGTGGCTGGCTGAGAGAGGGAGTAGATATCTTGAACTAACCCTGTGAAGAAAGCCCTAGCTGGGGCCAGAGACTGCCTTGAAGCTGCCTGGAAGGAAGAGCCAACTGGAGCTAGAGCCTAACCAGAGACTCCTATGGGTCATAGCCCCCTGGGGAAAGGTAGGCGTGGTGCAGGACCTCTGTTTCTTTTGTTTCTCATAAATGGTTTGGCTCTCATTTGTTTTGGGACCAGCAGAAGAGTCATCAGGGTAAGAGACTGTGAGGAAGGCCTAGGTACAGGCTATGGTAGGAAGCAATCCAGAGAGACAGCAGTGGATCTCAACAAACAGACCTCATCTGCTTCATACAGGGTCCCTGGCCTGGAACCCAGAGTAGAGGGTAGGCCTGGGTTCCTCTATCAGCCTACCTAGGACAGGGGCATGAACACCCCAGAGCCTATGGCTGACAAGCCCAAAAATCCTGAAGTTGGGTAGAACCTCTGGTGTGATTCTGCCAGGCCATTGGGCTGTTGGACTCATGTTTCCCCAGAAGGCCCGGGACTAAAAGTGCCCTGGCTGGATGGCCAACTCACAGGAAGAGGAAGACCACCACAGGGCCAGGTCACTGTCAGTGGGGGGCACCAAAGGAGGAGGAGAGCTGCTACACCCTGCCTAGCCAGGAGAGGATGCACCTGCAGTGAATAGACTCTTCTACAAGAGTACAAAAGCAACACTTTGCTGGCTCCTGGCATGGCTGTAACAAAGTTTTCCTCTTTCCCAGAGGCAGGAAAAACAGATACAAAACCCTCAGCTTCCTCCCAGAATTCCCAGAGTCAGGGGTCCTTCCCATATGGGTGGAGACACACCCTTTAGAAACTGAGAGTGTGCCAAGAAATGCCCAATCAGCACAGTTGCTCTGTTACACTACAGAAATAAATCTGTTAGAAGAGCTAATCTCTTAAATAATCTAGTTGAATTTAACTGGGAAAGACTTAACCAGTTCTGGTGGGGAAAAATAACCTCCTAAATCTTCATCTATATTTGGACTCAAACCTGACCTTGATTCTTTATGTGGCGCTTCTGAAATATTTACCCTTAACTAATGAGAGGAGAATATGTGCTGGTGATTCTTGTCCCCTTTCCATGGAGTGGAGTAGGATATTTTCTCTCTTCTCCCCTGTGTGTTCAGGAGGAGGGAGCAGGTCTAGCCACTCATGCAGTGTCTTTTGGTAGAATAGTGAGATGACACTGATAGGTATTGCGCTAACTTTTTGTTGAGATGAGGCAGAGCTAGTGGAATGTGAGTCAGTATGCTCAGCAGTAGGCCCAGTCCTGAACATTCCTCAAACTTCAACAGCCTTGCTACCCTCAAGTGGACTTGTACTCTAAATACAAGGAGGGAGCAGATCTATTGAGAAGGAAAGTGCCATTTTGAGTCCTTTTTCCGAGTCATATCAGTTTACTTTGGTGAGAAGGATACAGTTTTACCACTGTTAGCACTGAAGAGCCAACACAATTCTGGGAGTGTGAGCTGGATTCTATTTTGGCTCACATCATGAATAGAATTATTAGGTAAATTCCAAATATAGGGCCAAATTCTCCTCTAAATGACATGTATGTAATCCTGTTGAAGGCACAGGGATTTCATAACTGTGCTAAGCACATAATTGGAAGAAAGTGAGGTTGCAGTGGTATAACCGAGTGCAGCATTTGACCTGCAAAATCTTTGTTGCAAAATCAGGTACCTAAGCCAGCTAGACCACTATGTGGCTTTGCTATCCCAGTTTGAGGCTGACAGATAGAAAATCCATCTTTTTACTTGTAAGCACATTTTATATGGAAATTATTGAGAGACAATAAATATGGAAACCCACAATGTCACTTTTTCAAAGTAGAGCCCCACCCTTAAGTCATGGGGGAGACCCTGAGTCGAGTTAAAAAGACATCAGCTGTAAAAGACAGTTACTGTTAACCTCTCCCTCTGATTGAATTTGAAGAGGGAAAGAGTAGCTTTAGCAGCCTCAGTTTGAAGGGGTAGGGTTTGCTGCACGTATTGAGGAATTTTAGCCTGCATGGTGCCATAGATTTTGGAAATGGCCTTGGAAATGTGATCATTTAGTTTCTTTTATGTTGTAGTGAGCTCAGCTAAAGGGCAGCTGTTTGCTTTTGAACATCTCACTCCTTGTCCCTCCCCAAAACCCAGACTGCTATGCCTCCTGAGAAATCAGAGAGCGGGTTTGGTGGAGCAAACGGGGGAGGAGGGGAGAGAGGGAGGAGGAAAAAAATTAGTCTTTCTGTGTGAAATTACTATCAGACATTAAGGACAGAGAGTGATCCCAGCTGGTCTTCTCCCCAATGGTTCTTGCTTTTCAGCTCCTTTCAAGCGAACTCTTTCCCCCCCCCCCCATCCCCTATTTTATTTTCCTGGGCCTTTTTTTATTCCTCCACCTCCCAACACTTTTCTATCTTTTGTTTTTATTCCCCCCCCCTGCTGTTTTCCTTGATAGAACTCTCACTCATGCATTTCCCTTCCGGACTTCTATTGGGTTATTTTGTCCTCTCCCTCTCTGTGTCTCAGTCCCCTTTTCTTTCTTTGCCTCTTGTCCCCAGTAAAACAGGCGGCTCCCTACTGGGCCAGGATGACAGTGCTGTTAGCTTTCCCAGTGCCAGCCTTTCCCACATCTGTGCAGCTTTTGTCCTGCACCAGAGGGGGATTTGGAATGGTCGGTTGGCAGCGCCAGGGAGACTGATGTAAAAACGAGGTCCAAAAAGAGGGGTTGGGGAATTAGAAGGAGGGCGTGAGATGGTTTAAGTGAAGCACTGCTGAACATAAATAAGGGCCCAGCTTAATATTATGCATGACTCAGTGCCTCCAGTTTCAGCTGTAAACATAAGAGAACAAAACAACAATCTGGGTACCATATTGTTCTGTGAATTGTATACTACCAGTCTCTGACCCTCAAGCTGGCTGTGATAGTTGGGATGCTGATAAATAGCTTAGTTCAGTGTAATATCATATAAACCCTCTTCCCTAAGGTGGCAGAACATGAGCTGGTTTTCTTATTTTTATATTTTTAGAATGCTTTTTGAGCCCCTTGCCATCAGCCCCATCCCCCTTCGCCCTAATTTCATCCCCTTTCCATCCCAGTCCAATTTTCCCTCCTCCTTGGTCTCCCTGCTTAGCAGGCCTAATCCCCCATCACTTTAACCCAGCTCCTTTGCCATCCCAGACCAATTACCTCATGCCCCTTCCCTTTCTCCCCTGATGCCCAGCCCAATTTCCCTTTTTACCCTTACTTTATCTACCAAGGCACTTTCCATCTCAGTCAAACTGTCTTTCCCTCTCCCCACGCCACTCCTCACTCAAAGTCATCTCCATGCCCAAAAGAAGTGTGTATGTATCTGGGAGGGACAAAGCTCCAGTTGTGTTTCCCAGCCGGCTACAGTGTATTGTCTAACCCCAATGGCTGGCATATGGCAACGTTGGTAAGCTGGAAGAGCAGCATTGCCTGAAAAGAATAATCTTTTGACAGACCCTAGATTTTTTTTTCTTAGTTGTCTGATTCTAATGGAATGAGAACATTCAAATTTCATGTTCCCGCTTATCGGCATTCAGGGGCTTCAGACCCTCAAGGAGTTGCCTATTTTCCTCCTTCCTCTATGCTCCTAGGCCCTTCATCATATCTGACTACCTTTCTAGTCAAGGAGGGTTGAATCCATGTGGAATCCATCATTGTTTCTCCTTATCAAGATTAATGCTGTGTAGCACGTTGAAAATGTAAAGTGTTGTGTATTGGTGGACTACAGTGCAGCCTTTCCAAGTAGAAACTGAATGTGCTATGTCTATAGCACCCACAGTCCCTGCTGTGTGGGGAGTGGGCCCCCAAAGCAGCTAATTATGGGAGCGGGTTCCCTAGTAGCTGGTGAAATCTCAGTTGCCATAAGTCCCCTTATGAGGTTCGAGGCCATTGCAGCAGCCAGTGGAGCCATTTGAGCACATTGCTGGTAACTTGGGGCTGCAAGGTTCCTTAAAGATTTCTACAGTGTAAGGGTATGGGGAATGGGATTGCTTTTCCAACCTCCCACAGTGTGAAGATGGAGGAGGAAGGTAGTGGGCTCCCTACAATTCCAGGAGACAGCCAGTTGGCTTTCCCGAGTGATATTGAAAATGTTTGTTTTTGGGGAGGGGGTGCAGGTCATTGGGTCCTGTTCTCCTCCCTCCCAACACACCCACAGGAAAACAGCAAAAGAGGAAAAGAGGGGTTCTATTTTGTGCTTTTGTAACAAATAGTGTAAAATTTGGTGGTTTCAGATGAGATTTGATGTAAACTTTGCAGGATCATTCAACCTGAAAGTCAAAGTTGAATTTTGGGGATATGAACCCACAGGCAGTGAAACTTCAAAGAAAGGTTCACCATATCCACCTCTAACCAAACCCACAATATTAGGCACAGTTTTACTGGTTAAAACAATAATCAGCCAATCATAGAACATAAAGCATACCATGTGACATATGTGAGAGAGACAAGCTTTCGAGCTTATCCTTACAGGTCAGTGTAAGCTTGAAAGCTTGTCTCTCTCACCAACAGAAGTTGCTCCAATGAAAGATATTACCTCACCCACCTTGTTTCTCTAATATCCTGGGACCCACATGGCTACAACAACACTGCATATGACATACGGGACTTTCTTTCACAGGTCCATCGGAGTTACTGGATATGACAGACAGTGAAACGTAAGTGCAACCCACTTGACACCCACTTCCTTCAATGATTGATTTGTTTCACTTTCCTTCCATTTGTGCTCATTGGAAATCTCTTGGTGCGGTACAAAAGTTAAAATAAAAATGTGTGAAAATGGCAGACTTCTAAAAAAGGATTCCCAACCCCAATGAGCACCACGCCCCTCCTCCCAAGCTCCAAAACAAACTCTGTTCTCTCCCCTCATCTCCTAATTGCCCTAATTCTCCTAGAGCAGGGTTTCTCAAACTGGGGGTCATGACCCCTCAAGAAGTTATTATGTGGGGGGTCATGAGCCGTCAGCATCTACCCTCAAGCCACGCTTCACCTCAGGCATTTATAATAGTGTTAAATATATAAAAAAGTGTTTTTAATTTAAAGGGGGAGGGGAGTTGCACTCGGAGATTTTCTGTGTGAAAGGGGTCACCAATGCAAAGGTTTGAGAACCACTGTCCTAGAGGAAAACAGGTGAGATTTGCAATGTCCTGACACTCACTGAATCCAGGCACTGAGGGCCCAAGAGGGATAGTAAATTCCAAAGGCAAGAAAGAACTTCTTGCTGACAATGCCCTCCCACAAGCAGAGAAGATTTTTATCTCAAATAGTTAGAACCCAAACCATTTTGGACTTTATAGGGTTAAACCACAGCTGCTCTATGATTAGAGTGATCAGATGTCCCGATTTTATAGGGACAGTCCCAATATTTGGGACTTTGTCTTATATAGATGCCTATTACCCCCCACCCCCTGTCCTGATTTTTCACACTTGCTATCTAGTCACCCTATCTATGACCCCTTTGCACCATCTGTACTGAGCTGCCACAAAAGGGCCATAATAAGGTAAGCATAGCCTTGTCACAGGGGTGCCAGTGCCCTGCAAAGAACCAGCTCTGCCCCATCTCCACAGACGTCTTCACTGCAGGGAGCGTTCCAGAGTACGCTGGAAGAGGGCATGAAGAGGCGTGCATGGAACATTCCTATGCACCAGTGATTCTGCACCATGCAATGGTGCAAAGAGGTCATTGCAACAGAGCTGCAAGTTAGGGCAGCATCCAGGGCTTCCCTAGCCTTTGCCATCGGTTGAACCATTCACCGTCTAATCCTGAAAACGGGAGTTGCAAACCACTTTCCTTCTGTCCCTGCACTAGCTCTAGCACCAGCACAGGCATGAATTTGTCCCTTAGTTCTCAGCTGGAAATCAGTTGGTATCTAGTGCTGGATCTTTGGTTCAAATCCCAGCTAGGAGAGATTTGTCACACTGGTACCCAGTCAATGTTTCAACTTGCCCTGCTCCGTATGTTGAGTCTGAAATTCCTTTGAGAACACACACACACACACACACACACACACACACACACACACACCTGCTGGCTCGGTATATGTGTGAAATCTGCCCTGCTAGAGCGTAGGTCTTGGCATTCATTTTTTATAGATGTATAGTGGCACCCTCTGGTTGATATTGTCACTAACAGAGCCTCCCTCCACTCCCACCTAGAGCACACATTCTCCTCCTCTTCCTCATCATATGGGGAAGATTACTTCAACTGCAGTGGTATTGTGAGACTGTCTCCGCATCCTGTGAAAATCAGAATGGTTTAGAGCTTTAAAGTGAATGCTGATCTCCAGCTGTGGAGGACTAGAACACTAACTCACTGATGGAGGTCAGGAAGAGGTGGAGATCCGGGCTCAGGCAACAATATGGTGCAAGCGCTGACTTTGGCAGGCAGGAGTTTTGACTTCCATGTATCTGTCCCTGCTTGCAGGAGCCAAAGTGTCAATATTTAGTTTGGGTAGGAGATAATAGAAAAAAATCACCACTGTTTACCCTACAGTGAATTAACAGAAAGGCAGCTAACTTGCTCTTCCAGCAGCCAGCAGAATGTGGTGATCTGTTTCTGTAAGAGTACTAATAGGAAGGAAATATATGAAGGCAACAGTTCCTGTTCCCTTCCCCACCCATCTGGAAGTACTCCATCTACCATATGTGCATTATAAGCTGCTTTACTGATCCAGAGGGTATGCAAGCTGAGGGAGAAAGTGTACATGTCTATGCCAAGGATAACAGAAGAGAGCTTCACAAAAATGCTGCATTTTTCATTTTAACTTACGGCTAGTTTCCTCTGCTTTGGTTTAGGGGTGAGACAGCGTTGCACAAGGCGGCCTGCCAGCGCCATCGTGGCATCTGCCAGCTCTTGGTGGATGCGGGAGCATCTCTAAGAAATACAGATTCCAAGGTAACCAAACCAAATGAACCAATTATAAAACACTTTAGACAAGCGAGACCAATCAGCATCTGTCCCTGCTGTCTGCATTATTGAGGGCCTCTGTATGTTCCAAAAGCATTTCTTTTCAAACAAGTCATTTTATTTAGAAAAATGTCTTGATTTAAACAAACACAGGAGACCCCAGTTAAATCCCCAGCCTGGGTCATCTTTGCCATAGTGATAACCTGTCCTGAAACTGTTTTCTCAAATGGAGTGTCAGTGAGGCATCTCCAGGGCAGAATAGTACCATCACTGGGCACTGTAAAAAGAGATGTATGGGTCACTGATTAGGAATCCTAGTTTGATTTGATGGTGACTATGCAGTGTTGTGGTTGTGATCTAGTTATTTTGTGGGGATGGCTAACCCCCTTCTGTGTCCCAACTTTCCATTTTGTCCACTCATGCAAGGCCAACCACAATCTCCCCCACCCTCTTAGTGTAAACTCAAAATTGAACAGACCTAATCAGACTGTCTGAGCATGAGGAAAACATATGGGCAAAATTAGAGGCTAGGAATATTCAACCATTGTGTCAGTCTGATTGACTAAACATCCACAAGAAGTTCACAAACATAAATAAACTTGAGCATGGACAGGGAGGGGCCACTGCCACATTACACTGAGTACCAGGGTGTCTAATCACCCCAGCTGACCTGTCTGCAGGTGACCAGAATCACCTTGGAAGGTGCTACATAAGCTGCCCTTCTGGCAAGAAGTTAGTAAAAGCAGACAACCTATGGGTAATGGTTGAAAGGTGTGATAAAAAGGCAGTTAGACTTCAGGAATCCAGAATCCAAGGTTTGTTGCTTCTCTACAGATAAATGAAGTTTTAAAAACATTATTACCATATTTTGCGGTGCAGAGTAGTCTCTTCTGAAGAGAAGGTTCATCTGTTCCTTTTGGACAATAGTACTGAATACTACTGTCAGCAAAGGCTGAAATGTAGACAAGTGGACACTGACTAGCCTGATACCTGCCTGTCTTTATCAACCCAGGGATGTTGATGTTCCTGGGGGGCTGGGATGTTCCTATGTTTATTAATGTATTTTCAATATTTTTCAAAGTTTGATGTTCCAGATTCTTGGTTTTAGGTTATAGCAACCTTAAAATAACTTGGTAGCAGTAAGATGCCCTAAAGAATGATTATCAACTGAGGCCAGCTCAACATGGCTTCTACAGACTCAGATATTGGGAGCCTTTCTCTTCACACACTTGATAGTTGTTGCCTATGGTCTCTATGGGTTTCTTTTCATGCCTCAGCTACAGTACTGTGTGGTATGCACACACAGTATGTCCAGCCATTGGATGGGAACTCTGCTAAATCTATTTTGGTGTCTATATACTATTTGTCAGCGACTGCAAACCACACAGTCTCTTGTAAAATTGAAGGGTTTATTCTAAATCTGGTAAAGACTTTAAGTAGGAGGAAGCCTGGCAGCAAGACACCAGTCCCAGGAGCCATGCATATAGTAAAATTAAATAATTCTCATGGAGAACCTTAACTTGACTTCAGTCAAGCTGCCTCTTCACATTTCTGCTTCAGAATTTTCTTTCTGTACTTCTAGTGTTACCTTCTGTGGGACATAAATTAATTTTGTCTTCTAAAAATGTATGTGTAAGGCTTTCTATCTGTGTCCCTTCATTGTAGGGTCAGACACCTAGAGACAAGGCTCAGCAAGCTGGGGACTCAGATCTGGCCTCCTACCTGGAAAGTCATCAGAACTACCAGATGGTTTCCCATGAGGACCTGGAGACTGCAGTTTGATGTCCGTGAAGGGGAAGAGAACCCTAGGAAATAACAAGGCTGCACCTGAGACACTCAGGCATTGTATGAGGAAGAAGCTGATGGAATCAACGTGTCTCTCGCTCTCATGCAAAATATCTGAGGACATGCCACCAGTTTCTAAGGGCTAATGAGTCTTGCCACGGAACTGTTGTGTTCCCATGTGATGGCCCATTGGGGATGAGGTGAAACACTCAAAGGTCTGTGGAATCCATGGACCATGGAAATTTACTCTTACTGCTTCCAGCAAGTAGCATGAACTTCTCCCATGTTCATCTGTACAATTTATTTAAAAAAAGAATAAGGGAGGAAAAAAACCAAACTAACTTGGACATTAATAAACCCAACCAACCCCTTCCTCCATTCCTACAGTGCCCTACATTCCTTCCTCTCCCATCCTACTCATTTGTCACCAATTAAATAATATCTGTTATCTCTGTATTAATTCTTCACAAATGGACAGGTGATAGGCAAGACTTTGAGGAGCTCTGGATGCCCTTAGGAAAAAAAATGACTTTTGAACCTGTTGAGTCTTCACCTACTGTTTCCTCGGAAGTTGAATTCTCAGTGTTTAATTGCCAGGGAGTTTTTTTTCTCTTTTGGAACAAATTCTTTCTACTGCCCTGTTCTATGGGGTGCTGGATCCAGCTAGCTTTACAGCACTGACAAGAGCTAGCCTTCTATCTGTCTCTGAATATATCTTAAAGGTGTCCTCATGAAATGATATTTGAGTGGAAGGGAGTTGCTGTGTGACATTTTGTGTTGTCTTCTGACAGACCACACAGTAACCAATAAGATGTCTCATGTCGCCACTCTGCTGATAATGACAGACTGATTCTGCTCAGGTCTGAATCCTGCCTATAATTAGCCATTTGGGGCTTCTGTCAAGTTGTGTTTTTAAGATAGGGAGAGATGAGAGTATGATGGATGCAGTTGTGGTTGACTGACTTACTAGCGCTGCCACTTTGACTTACTGACTTACAGTCATAGAAACCAAATGTAAAGCATCAGCTGTCTGTCAAGGCTTGCTGATATTAACAAGAGGATGAGCACCACATTAGACATTTTTAAAATAATAAAATACAATGAAAACAGATGGGCAGATTCCAAGAGGGATTTGGAACAAAGCTTTAAAAGAGAGAGATTATCCTATTCAAAAGAAGACAAATGTCAACCATTAGCCTCTCATTGCTCGCCATAGGGTTAAAAACATATATTGCTTAGCTGTTGTCAGACATGTAGTCATGGTTTCTTTATTCTGCTCCTTACTTTCCTGACCCAAAGAATACCACCATCAAACAGAGGAATCATCCGCACCCCAAACATACTCACATATACATAGAGTGTTCATGTTAAGGTTTTCTATCACTTATGGAATTCAGCTGTCAGAATTAAGGGGGCTTGCCCTTTTCCTTAGTCTGACCACCCCCGTGAGAATTGTCAAGGCTCAATCCTGGCATAATAATTCCAACACTGTTTGTAATTGAAGATCCAATTCTCTCTCTCTTTTCACATGCATTTGCAAGGTGTAGGTTTTTGATGGTTGGTGCTAAACAGGATTGGTGTACAGTTTTGAACCCAGGAAAACCCATCAGGTCATTCTTCAGATAAGTTTTTCTTCCTTTAATAGCAGTTATGGGGATGAAATTGAGTGATTCTGGTGAATTTTTCTCTCCACTTTTTTTTTTTTTTTTAAACAAGTGAGTCTTTTGGCAGAGGAGGGGGAGCTGAATAATAAGCCTTTTCATTTATCTTGTTTTCAAAGCTCTATTCAATGTGAGCAAAATATTGTTCAGTATTTCTTCCGCTGAAAGAAGATTATATTATATTTGTAATCTACAGATCAATGGCGACATGAAATGTATTTTGTCTTATTTTCTCTATTCACTTTATTTTTCTAATTTAAAAACAAAAGATTAAGGCTAAATTCTTCCCTTGGTTACTCATTCAGGGGTTTCCATGGAGGGCCAGTGTATACATACAAGGACAGAAAGCAGAGTAAAATTTCTCTGTGTGTGAAACTTCCATACAAACAACCCTCCCCTTGTGCTGTCACTGCAGTCCTGGCATTATTTCCCAGCTGTGAGGAAAGGCATGCAGCTTTTTCGCTTTTGGTTGTGCATTCTGTATGTGAGAAATGGAGGAAGTGGGACTGGTACCTTGGGCTAAATTCTGACCTGTGCCAAGGTACACTTGGGGCATGGGGTCATGATGGTCAGTGAGGCAGTTATAGCTCCCTGATTCTCAAGCTTTCCTGGCCCAGGACCAGACATCAGTTAGAGCAGCCATTAAACTGCTCTAACTTATGACCGCTTGTTGTGGTCCATAGGGAACCATACAGTGGCTGTGAATCACTGTAGCAGGGTTGAGCTCCACCCCTCCCCATCACCGATTTTCCTCTTCTCCCATGATGTGCCCTGAGAACTGGGAAAATGGTCGGCACAGCAGCTGGCTTTTTACATCAGTTAAGAATTCCCCTCTGCAGGGAGAATTTTCAGCTTGGCATCTGCGGCCAGATTCTGGCTCCTTTGTGCCATTCATACAGTTTAAAGGAGCTGGATCCCAAATGAGAATCTGGCCTTCTATTTTTCTCCTGCAGCTGGAAAATGATGCTATGACTAGAAGGACACCATTGTGCCTCTGGAAAGTTTTTCACTCTGAAAACTCTGTAGGAAGCAGTTACTATATGATGAGGGGAAAAAAACAAAAACCCAGCACTGAAGATAGAACAGAACTTGGCATTCACATAGTCAATGGTCAAGGTGTGCCAATGCACTTCACAAACAACATGTTACATCCTGGGGGAATATTGATTATGTAGCTAAACAGAGCATATATTTATTCTCTGCAATGGCTCTCTCTCAGCCTGGGATATCAGAACCTGTCTCATTGGGAGAGGGAATGTTGGGCTAGGACCCTAGTAGGGATTATTCCTTTCAAATGCCACAGGATCCTTGATTCTGGACAGTTATCAGAAGCAAGCAGACTGGGCATCAGTTTAATATTATACATGTGTATAGAATCTGAGGCTTTGGTGTCCATCCTAGCACTGCATTGCAGTCTATGCATTGGGCAGTGCCCAAGTTCTAGTGTGGGGCTGGAAACTCACTTAAATTAAATTTAAATCACTTTAATTTATTAAAATATCTTTACTGCAGGTATTTTTTCCATGGAGCTATTATTTTAGAAGTGTAAAGAATTTAGGGATGATCAACCATTGAGGTTGCTGGACTGGTAGAATATTATTAGTTAATCTGCCTTATAGGGGTTCTTGATGTAGAATGTAGCAACTCCTGGATTGTTCCATTCTGAGTGCTGCACTGTCCCATTTTAAAGTGAAACTGAGGGGCAGAAAATATTTTTAATGTTAATGAAATAAACAATTTTGTTATTTAACAACATTAGTTATTTTTGTTATTGCATAACTCAATGTTCTATAAATATATATCTCTATATACATTATGTGATAAAACGTGACAAGGTTCTGGGTAACTATAGCATCCCTCAGGCATTGTTGACCTTGTAGGAAGAAGAAGGCCATGGCAAGCAGTAGATTTCAAGGAAATTACAGCTCTTGGTTATAAAATGGAAGTTCAATATAAAATAACCCCTCAGCCGTCTGTATTTAGTGGGTGTTGTACGTATGGGTATAGCATCAGCAATAGTTAGTGAAAATGTCTCCGTAATTGTACAGCTCACTCTGAACAAATTTGTGATAGCCAGGCTGAGCTTTAGGGGCCATCTCACAGTTTGAGATCTGTCTGTCTAGATTCTTATGCTGACACCCCTCACCTTTGTATCTCCCAAATGTGAAAACAACAACAATGGAATCATTCAATATCAATTCACAGTTCTGTAGCCTGGGTTTTGAACTGTTCATGGGTAGTTCTGTAATGCACAAAGAAGGGCCATTAGAGCACCAGATACATAAAGAAAATAGAACAAAATAAATGTTTTGTTGCCATTGATCTTCACAATTGTATATGTGTAGCTGATGCTAATTTGGATGAACAAGTGAGCACACAGTTTTGTGGTGGTGTGTTGCATTTAGTTCTGGTATGTTTGTTTGGGCTTTTTAATCACCCCTTTTACTCACGTCTCTCTTCAACTTTGCTGTTTCATTGTTACAGTGACATGAATTGTAATGAATAGCATCAACACATCAGGTCTTACATAGATGGTGGCTTACCAGCTGCTACTTTCTATTCAGCTGTCCCAGATGCTGCACTTGGGTGCACCTAGGTGTTGATAGTTCCAATGCATCAAATTCATAGTGAGAAGAACTGGCAAAAAGTATTAAGCGAGCAGGTAAATTGGCCTTAAGCTCCCTGGGGCTTTCACATATGTAATGACACTCAATGAGTATATAGGCATGCTGGATATTTGGATGCCTTGAAGACACTTTGAGAAATTCTGTCCAGTAGTCCTGTCCATGCCTGGCACTGCACTAATAAAATGGTTCCTTGTGCTGATTCCTTTGAAGTTCATAATTTTCTCTTTCCCCATTTTTGCCTCTGGTTTTGGTCAGAATAAAGGGACATGGCCAAGCACTTTGTAAATTTGATGTTTAAGGTTTTACTTTCCATTGTTTGTAACAGCTCCCTTAGCACTTTGAGAATAGGATTTCTTCCTGCATTGTGTTTGATCTTTCCTATTTGTCAAATGGTACATTTCCCTCCTTTTTCTCCGGGAACACAAGCCAACCTGGCAATAGATTGTTAACTTCCTTGTTTGTCAAAAGCATCATCCAGGAGTGTCTTTAGTACTGCAGCATTTCTAGGAACAGTTTGTTAGTAAATTCATGCCTTGCTGGCTGCCTCTGAAGCAACAGAACAAACAATGTTACAGGATTCAAAGTGGTGGGTGTCTTCTCCTTTTGATTTCTTAGTAATAGAATGGGCAATTGCTTTTTAAACACATATTTAAAATCTGGAGGAGCTCCCCACCACACTATAGTGGATTTTAAAGTAGGTCCAATAATG